TGTTTTTACTCATATTTAATCTGACCTTGGTTTAATCTGAGGAAAGTCTGTATTGCTCTTCACCAAATCTGGAATGCTCCTGAAGGTGCTCCAGCACCTCAGATGCATCACATTTCATAAACCTGAAATATATAATATTATTTTATGAGGAATGCAGTATTCAGAAAATGAATACCAAAATGTAAACACTCAGCTCTGAATGAAAATATAGAGCTCTTCCTGAAAAACCTCTAATTGAGTCAAATTGTCTCTTAGAATATGCCAGGACCAAGATTAAGAATTAATAATATTTTAATATTGTTATGGAGCACAATGTCCCTGGCCTTTACTATTTCAAGTCATCTTCCTTTCTTCAAGATCTTGAATTTTAGAGTCAATTTTTTTCAGAATAAATTTGAATGTTGTTTATCTATTTGACTCTGACCAGCTACTGATTGATTTTCTTTTCCTTATGTAGGACTAAGAAGAATTCAGAGTCATGCAGGTAAAAGACTGTTAGATCTAATATGTCCATGCATGCATATGCACTATGTCAAATTTCCATGAATGTTGATTTATTAACAGTTGAGGAAATGCACCCTAGGACAATGTCTACCTCCAGAACTTATTTTATTCTAGCATTGTTTTTCTGCAATGCATGTTGCATAATCAAAGTTGCCAGTATATGCTAATAAATGTATTTTAAATATATGTATTTCTTTTGGAATGAATGTTCCTCAAAATGATCAGAGTGAGTCATTCATTTGACTGGTTGCTTTGTTTAGCTTCCTGACCCCTTGTAATCAGTTATCAGGAAGAAAGAAATTGATTGACTCATAAACAACTATAGTTTTATGATTCTCAAGGGTCCTGACCAGATGGAAAGAGAGTGACCAGAATTTCTCTGTGGTTGCCCACCCTGGTCCCACCTTCCTGACTCGGTGTCCCTGCTTGGGGGATAATTTTTTGTAATACAGTCTCCCAGTCTTGTAGTTTTATGTTTTATGGCTATTGGTTTTAGACCTTCTTCCCTGATTGAGTAATAAATCAATGTCATAGGAGATAAAATCTAACTCTATTAAAATCTGATAACTGAAAATGTTATATGAAGCTTGATAAGCAAAAATGCCTACAGTGCTTGGCTTTCAGCAGATCACACAATGGTGGTGGCCTGCTATCATTAGTAGGTTAGATTTTCAGCTTATAAGAAATTAATAGACTTAGAAATAAGTCTTCTGGAAAAGTCTGAAATTACACAGCATGTCCAAGTTGTGCAGAGAAATAGAAATAAAAGAGAATAAAGTTTGCAACACACAAAGAATAAAGAAATTAAGCATACATAATGTTTAACTATAATAGCTATTTATTCCTTAGTATCTAAATCCTGAGCAAAGTACTCTGCTTCTTTGTCCTTGGACCTCCCCACCCCCACCCCACCCAGCTTTTTGGGGCAATCTCATCTGATTTTTCAGCAGAGAAACGTCTTTTTCCATGTCTTTGGAATTCTGCCTGCCATCCTCCAGAAGTGCAAAGCTTCCTCCACCAGGATCGGGAGGGGTTTGGGGAAAATCTGCCTTTCGCTTCAGGGTGGGAGCTCAAGGTTGAGAGAAGAGGTGTCTTGAATGAATGTGAGCCTGTCCCACATGAGAAGCTGGGAGACTGCGAATGTTAGCCTCAAGGCCTGCCTTTCATAATAGCTGGTTAGACTGGTTTTACCTAAATGGCAACTTAGGTTAGATCTGGTTCTTAAAAAAAAATCCACAACCAAAATCTCTGTGGCTAGTGAACAGAGTGCAATTGGAAAAAGAATGTATTTAGATGGAGAATATCAGGTTGCAGGATGCCTGTCTAATCACAGTAGAGGAAATGTAGGGCCTCCCAAACCTTCAGGCCAAGGCTGTGGACTATTTCCATGTGAGTAGATAAACTGTCTGGCTGCCAAAAAAGGTGGTTTGTTTGGTTTAAAGATTTGGGAACAACATCCTTAAAAAAATAGAGTGAAAGTTGGGACTGGAAAGGGAGGGATTTAGAAGAGAAGATTGGCTATCCCAAGCTTCTAGAACGGAATGGCAGAAGAATGAGAAACAGAGAAGTTCCAGATATCTACAGGAAGCTTCTGCCCAGCAGAGGGAGAAAAATGAAAAGGTGGTTGATGATGTCCAATCTACCTTCCTGTGGAAATACCAGTGCAGGAAAGTTGATGCAATTATAATCTTATTAATAGGGGCTCCCTACAAATAAAAATAGTGTATCCATAATGCTTTATGTTTTTCATTAAATATTGGCTACTGTTTGGGACATCTTGAAAAGAAACCTGTTGCTTTAGCTCCAGTTTTGGTGTTTTTAACTATGAGAAAAAAAAAAAAAAAATTGTATCCAGTTTGTATCAGAGATGCAATCATGGCATTCATTAAATTAAACACTTGTGCTGAAGCTAACTTATATATTTACTTTTCTGAAAGCTGTTTCGCTCTGTTACTGTTTTCTCCTTTTTATTTGTAGTTGCAGTTTATTTGGATTCAGACTGCAAGCATCCAGACATCACCATCAGCAAAGATGGGAAAACAGCTACACTTAATGCTTTTGGAGAAGCAAAGTCTGCTGTGGGTTCTCTAGTGGTTGTGGGGAAAGAGGGTTATGTTGCTGGGAAGCATTACTGGGAGGTAAAGGTCGGGAAGCGGCTGGACTGGGAGCTGGGGGTGCTGACTCAGGGTGAAAGGGACAGAACCAGAAAGGGGAAGTTTTCTGTGGCCCTTGGAGAAGAACACTGGGCACTGAAATGTGTCAGAGGAGATTTATTTTCTAGTCAAAATGAGGAAAAGATTGAAAAAAAACAGCATGTGCCTTATTCAAATATCGGCTTATTTCTGGATCAAGAATCAGGAACAATACAATTCTATAGTTCCACTATGGAAACAGTACTGCTTATAACCACCATTGTCCTTCAGTCAACTGAGAAATTGCACCCATTATTAAGTTTTGGTGAGTGTGCCCTAGATTCTGCTCAAGGTCCATTAGAAGTCATCCATATGAAAATCCCACTTCCTTTTCAGAAAGTTTGAAAAAGCGGGAAGAGATTCATTAGATTTTTCTGAGAAATATCTCAACACAAAGAAAGTAAAATAATTGGTATCAAACATTCCATAAAAATTCATCCAGGTGGATCTTTTGTTTTGGTTTACAATTTTAAAAACCATTGACTATGTGTTGTCCTAGCTATAACCTGAGCCTTGCCAGCACAGGTGGAGCTCTTTCCTGCGGCTTTAGGTCCTCAGCTAGGCAAGGCATCCTGGAATTTTGTTTCTCATATATAGCTTAGTCCTGGTGAAAAAAGGGATAGTTTATGACTATATTGTATATTTTTATTTAAACTTTCCATTCCATGGATCTATGACAGTCATTTGTTTATACTGTATTGCACATCAAATAAAATAAAAATAATGAAGAATATATTATTGTTAATATTAGAGATTTTTATTCTCCCTGAATTTCAAGAACCAGACTGAAAATTGGTTCAGCTGGCCGCTGTATCCTGGAGATTCCAAGCAAAAGAAAAATGCCCAGATATTGAAAGGAGTTCCATGGTGTAACCTCTCCCCCTGGATCTTTCCCAGTTCACACAGAAAGTCTTTCAGTTGGGTATAACAATCTGTCCCTAAGTTGATGAAGATTCTTAGTCATCCAGGTGGAATTATCTGAAGGTTGAGTTTTGGCAACTGGACTTCTTTTCTTTTGGTTTGATGGGCTTGTTGAAGGGACAATAGGAGATGTGATTAGTAGGAATCAGAATCAGCAGGTTTCCTTCATCTAAAGGAAAAAGGACACTCATTCAAGGACAATAATGTTCACGTTTTGGACAGAGAAGATAGATGGTTTGAGAGAGGAGTGAAGGAATCCATTTAAGCCAAAGTGGAAAGTCCTTCCCTCAAGACAGGTGGAGGCCTCAGACACACCTTGTCTCCCATTTTTCATACTGCTCTTTCATCAGTCCCCAGGAAGATTAAGACTACTTCTCAAGTTCACCAGGGAGGCAGCACCTAACGACCCACTCAGAGATGAGTGAGGGGTTAGAAGCAAGATATCGACATCCCAAAGACTCTACTAATTACATCTCCTGTTGCCCCTTCAACAAGCCCATCATGTTAGTGAGAAACGCAGCCACCCTGGAAGATATTTATGGGGTTCCCCCCAGCCAACTTTCTAGACTGAAGAAGCTGCTTGGACAAGCAGCAAAACGCATCATACCAAAAGAAAAGAAGCCCAGTTGCCATGACTCAACCTCCAGATCTATCCCTAACTTGTTCTAATGATCTCTGAAAGATAGATGTGGGGTGCAGAGTCCTATCCCTAGATAAAAAGAAGAAAAAAAATCCCTCTGTTTTTGCTTCCCTCTGTTTTCTTTCTCCTTTCTTCCTTTCTCCATTCTATAGAAATAAGACAGACATCACAGCAGATGAGCCAATTACAGAAATTATTTTATTATTTCCAAAATTAAATGCATTAAATATAAAACATGAACCAAATGAAGCACAACAGTATATGGTAGGAAATGTAAAGGTTTAAGGGTTCCTGTCTTATTTTTCATGTAAAACCTGTTCTTCTAGATTTACAATTTTGAGTGTTGGGTTATCCTCCTGTACAGTTCCTGAGCTGAGAGAGAAGAATGGATACATCTTTCCAGAGCAATGAATACTGAAAGTGTGAAATTTCTTTTTTGTGTTGACATCATAAAAAGACAGGCTTTGGTCTGCTGATATATCTAGGAATATCCTATTTTTGTGGGTCTTCCACTCACTTTGAGAAGGGTCCAGGGGTCTGTCCAAGCCCAGTAATCTTTCCCACCATCAAGACCTATGACTCAGTACCCATTTTGAGGAGACAGTGTGATTGTCCCTTTTCTACAGATGGATTCAGATGCAACCCCTAAGTCCCATTTCTTTATCTGGCTTTGGAATATCCCTGTGATGCCAGGATGAACATATGGGAATCAAACCTCTTCTCATTATTAGAAACTTTAAAAACATTTCCTGTGTCTCTCACACTTTTTCTAGCTTCAGATACTTCCAATTTTGGGTGAGCTGTCCTGGAGTCAAAGGTCAAATCAACTGGAAAGGAAAGGAAAATTTTTACTGCAAAAACAGATCTAAGAGTAGCTTTATTTGTTTATTGTTCCATGAAACCCTTTTTATCTTAGGCATGAAAGTGAATTTTATAATTCACCTCATTTACTCAGAGGACCCATTCATTATGAACAATTAAAACAATTTTTAAAACAATAATCTTGTCTGGAGAGTTAGTATGGTAAGTTGGTTCACTTTAAAAAGGAGGCATTAAAAACTCCCCCTCCATGCTTAATGATAGAACGACTGTTGTGTTTGGCACAAAGGCCACCAGTGTGGCTTTTGTTTTATATATACTAATCTCCTTTTCCCTGTTTTTATACTGTCCAACTGTCTACTGCCACTCCCTTTTCATATCTTAAGTTCAGTTAGCGTTCTGCCTCCTTTCGAAATAAAAAAAATAGCCAGTTAATATTTTACTTGCATTGCAATAAAGCAGCAAACTATCCTTTCATCCCGTCTACATTACCTAAATAAACCAATAAATGAAATAGAGAAAACTGCAGGTGTCTGATGAAAGGTCTTTCATCCAATGTTCTCCTATACTTGTGAGATTTCTATGTCCAGATGTGAATTTTCTGAGAGTGGAAGAAACCTTGTATAATATGTTCTTTCTGCTTCCTGCAAAATGGGATCTAGACAAAGATTCTCTACATTTTTATTTCCTCCTGTGAAAGAACATGCATGTAGTCATTGAACAAGGCTCAATGATGTATCAGAATAATTTTAGAACCTGGATTTGACAATCTTATGACAACAGAGAACCAACATTTCTTGCTCTCCTATCATATCTAAGTATTCCATGTTTTATAATTGCATTTATATTCCTGATATGTTGGCAGGGGAAAGGGAATCTGTTGATTTTGTCTTTTATCAAACAATATTCCAGAATCTTACTGAAACACTAGAGTTGGGTGTTAAACGTCTATATACCACATCTGTAGCTCTATCAGCCAAAGGGTTGCATTCAGATGGGCTTCTGTTTTCTCCTTGGATTTTGATATCTCACTGGCTATATCTATAAATTATATCTATAAATTATAGATTTCCCCCAGATTTCTCCCCTTTGATTATGGGCTGCAACTACTTGTTGGAACACTGCTATACTAATTGGTGCCATGTCTTGCTGGAGCTTACTAAAGTCTTGTTCCAGAGTAAGCCATTTGATATGATTACTTCTCATGATATGATCTGTCATTGAGGGTTTTTTTGTTTTCATTAACTGGAACTTTCTCTTCTGTGCTTACTAGAACTATGCTTATATAGTCTTTGAGTATATTTACATGGGTTTTGACATTAAAATGTTATTGTATGTATTTATCACATTTATACCTGTCACGTCCATGAGACTAGGTAGTTGCAATAACTGGTTGTCAGATGTTTCAATCTGTGTTGAGCTTAAAACATGCTCAGGTGGGAATTGGCCAACTGGTTTGGCTGAAGGCTCAATTAGTTTACTTTAGCCTGCCATGGTAGAGATAACTGATAGTGAATGCTTTGCTTTCTTTAGTTTAGATTATTTTTGACTTAGCTTTCACATACAGGACTTTATATGATTTATCAAATTCTCTTCCTCCTGTATCTCTTCTAAAACACTTCCATGCATATAAAGGGTTTGTTTGCCAACCTAACAATTTGGAGACATTGGTCTCTTTGTCTTTTTCCAGACATTATCTATTGTTTCAAACTTCTTTGCCAGAAGTTGAAATTTTGCTTATTTAAGTATATCTTGTAGCATTTTACAACAACAATCAGAAACAAAAACATGGGGGCAGTAAGTAGACACTGCAAACACTATGGTCTCTGGTGGCATTATGTGAAACTTCACAAGAAATTGTTTCATCTTAACTAGCATTAAAAGAACTGTGGACTCTACAGTAAATATTAAAATGTATTTATTTATTTACTTAAACATGTATATAGCCGTCCCGCTTAAGTATGTACCTGGATGTTGAATTATAAAATGACTCTTTTATAACTTTTAATATTAGATAACCATAATATGTAAGGTTTACCCCGTCCGACAGAGAAACTCCCGTGACACGTGTGGTTCACAAAAGAG